TCTCTCTCTCTCTCTCTCTCTCTCTCTCTCTCTCTCTCTTTTTCTGTCTGTCTATCTGTCTATCTATCTATCTATCTATCTATCTTATTGCATATGGTTCAGCTTCCTTCTGTATGACCTGCTGTTGTCTGCCTCTCTTGCTGCGCAGCTGAAACCCAGTCATTAAGTTCTGCTACCGGTGTGTTGTTGTGCCGTTGAACCTGCAGGAATACATACGCAAGTGAAGTAACACAAGCGTGACACAAGCGCACTGCTCCACTGGGGAGCTGATGAAGGAGGGTGATGCAGAAGCGGGCCAACTGTGAGGGGCGAATAGGAGTATCAAACGTTTTTTGTTTGGTTGGAGGGAAGAGGAGTTGTTGACTTATGTGTGCGAATGCGCGGGGCATCATGGCGGCAGCTCGCAGTCTGAGTTGTCAATTTGGGACTCTGGCGCTTGAGGCCAGGGTGAGCGCCAATTCAGAGTTGGCGGGAAACAGCGCTCGTACTCGAGCAAGATCGCTGCTTCATTCCTTATCGGTGCAAAGTGGTTCTTCGTGCAAAGGATCCGTAGCTGGAGGGGGAGGTGGAAGAGGAGGTAATCAACGACGGACGGCTGTTGCGGTGCGACACTTGCTGCCTGCCTGTTCTCGCTGTTCTTCAGCTTCTTCTACCCATGGCGGGATCTCTTCTCGATCGTCTGCCGTTGCTGCACTTGTTGATGCTCACGTTGTCGTCGATTCGTCAAATCGGATTGACGGGGAGCGTAGGTGTTTCCTTGGATGCCAGGAGAACCTGTCGTCTGTTTGGTCGGTTGGGGCTTCGTCTACATCGAAGATATGGCGGGCGAACGGGTTACCTTCAGTCTCAACCGGGCCATCTCCTCTGTTTGCCATTGGGCGAACACGAAGGGGGTTTCGTAACTCGCCCGTGCGGTGCATGGCGAGTGTGAGTGGGAGGCAGATCAACCAAGGGGAGTTCACAGAGATGGCGTGGCAGGCCATTCTTGCGGCACCCGAGGTGGCTCGCGAGAGCAAGCATCAGATAGTCGAGACCGAGCATTTGATGAAAGCGCTGCTGGAGCAGAGGAATGGCTTGGCACGGCGAATCTTTGCCAAGTGTGGAGTGGACAATACCGCCTTACTGCAGGCTACGGAGCGCTTCATCCAGCGTCAACCGAAGGTATCTGGGGATACGAGTGGGGCCATGCTAGGAAGAGATCTCGAGGCTTTGATAGAGAGAGCACGTGGGTACAAGAAGGACTTCGGAGATGCGTACGTTTCCGTAGAGCACCTTGTTCTCGCCTTTGCTCAGGACAAGAGGTTGGGTTCCCAGCTGTTCCGGGAGTTTGGATTGACGGTGAAGCCGCTTGAAGCTGCGATCCGGGAGGTGAGAGGAAAGCAAAAGGTGGTCGATCAAGATCCTGAGGGAAAATACGAGGCGCTAGAGAAGTATGGCGTGGACCTGACAGAGAGAGCACGCCAAGGTAAGCTCGATCCTGTGATTGGCAGAGACGACGAGATTAGGCGTTGTATCCAGATTCTCTCGCGGCGCACGAAGAACAACCCTGTACTCATCGGTGAACCTGGGGTTGGGAAAACAGCGATTGCAGAAGGGTTGGCGCAGAGAATTGTGAGAGGAGATGTGCCGGAAGCCCTTATGGACAGGACATTGATTGCGCTGGACATGGGGGCGCTGATTGCCGGCGCTAAGTTCCGGGGAGAATTTGAGGACCGGCTGAAAGCGGTACTGAAAGAGGTGACGGATTCCGACGGCAAGGTCATCATGTTCATTGACGAAATCCACACTGTGGTCGGGGCCGGAGCAACGCAGGGCGCGATGGACGCTGGCAATCTGCTGAAGCCCATGCTGGGGCGAGGTGAACTGCGCTGCATAGGTGCCACCACTCTCGACGAGTACCGGAAGTACATCGAGAAGGACCCCGCACTGGAGAGAAGGTTCCAGCAGGTGTATGTGGACCAGCCAAGTGTGGAGGACACCATATCGATTCTACGAGGTCTGCGGGAGAGGTACGAGCTCCACCATGGGGTGCGGATATCTGACAATGCTCTCGTTGCTGCTGCATTGCTGGCTGACCGGTACATCAGTGATCGTTTCTTGCCGGACAAGGCGATTGATCTTGTGGACGAGGCGGCGGCAAAGTTAAAGATGGAGATCACTTCAAAGCCAACGGCGCTGGACGAGATCGACCGAGCTGTGCTCAAACTGGAGATGGAGAGGCTGTCGCTGAAGAACGACACGGATCGGGCGTCTCGAGAGAGATTGGACAGGCTGGACCAGGAACTGGAGTTGCTGAAGAAGAGGCAGAAGGAGCTGAACGAGCAATGGGATAGAGAGAAAAGCGTGATGACGCGGATGCAGAGCATCAAAGAGGAGATTGATCGCGTGAACGTGGAGATCCAACAGGCGGAACGTGACTACGATCTGAACAGAGCTGCGGAACTCAAGTACGGGAGTCTCATCTCCTTGCAGAAGCAGTTGGAAGAAGCACAAAAGGCGTTGTCCGAGTACCAGCAGACTGGAAAGTCGATGCTCCGAGAAGAAGTAACGGAAAACGACATCGCCGAGATCGTTAGCAAATGGACAGGCATTCCCATTTCCAAGCTGCAGCAATCGGAGAGAGAGAAATTGCTCCACCTTGACGAGGAGCTCCACAAGCGAGTAGTAGGGCAATACCCTGCCGTCAGAGCGGTTGCTGAGGCCATTCAGCGCTCTCGGGCCGGGCTCGCTGATCCAAACAGACCCATCGCCAGCTTCATGTTCATGGGCCCAACTGGTGTCGGCAAGACGGAACTTGCCAAGGCTTTGGCCGCTTATCTGTTCAACACCGAAGATGCTCTCGTGCGTATTGACATGAGCGAGTACATGGAGAAACACGCCGTCTCTCGACTGGTTGGTGCTCCGCCGGGATATGTCGGTTTTGAAGAGGGGGGTCAACTCACGGAAGCTGTCCGCCGGCGCCCCTATTCTGTTGTGCTCTTCGACGAGATCGAGAAAGCGCATTCCGATGTGTTCAACATCTTCCTGCAGATCCTGGATGATGGCCGGGTTACTGATTCCCAAGGGCGAACCGTGCGATTTACCAACACCGTCATCATCATGACTTCCAACGTTGGGTCTCAGTTCATCTTGGCTTCGCTCGATCCCGTGTCGGGAACGCGGGAGATCGTCTACGAGAACATGAAGGAAAGGGTCATGGATGCAGCACGCCAAGTCTTCCGTCCAGAGTTCATGAACAGAGTGGACGAGTACATCGTCTTCCAGCCTCTTGATAGCGCCCAGATTAAGAGGATCGTCAGTCTTCAGCTCCAGAGGTTGCAGCAAAGATTAGACGACAAAAAGATACAGTTAGAGGTAACGGAAAGTGCGTTGGATCACCTTGCTGTTTTGGGTTATGACCCTCTCTACGGTGCAAGGCCTGTGAAGAGAGTGATTCAACAGCACGTTGAGAACGAGTTGGCGAAAGGCATTCTCCGGGGCGAGTACAGCGAGGAGGATGTCATTGTCGTCGACACAGACATAACTGTATCGGCGACTGGTGTGCCTGCAAAGAAGTTAACATTTCAGAAGAAAACGAAGCAGACGTCCGACACAGCGGGTGCTGATAGAACAAGAAGTTCCGACTCAGATTCTGTGAAGCAACAGGTGGTTCGTGGCTGAGGCCCATACTCACAGTAGGATTTCCTGGATGCATCTGGCCGCGTACCTGACAGCAATTACGTCCATAGCTCATTGAAGAAGTCCTAGTGTGAGTATGACCTGACTCTACCAGTTTGGTCAGAAGCGCGGAAATGGTGAGGAAGGGGGAATGGGATTGGAAATGGGAATGGGACTGGGAATGTGAGGATGGTGTCCAATCGAGGAAGAAAAGACGGGTGCGAAAGCAACGGTGACGTGAGCGTCATTCATACAGTTGGTTGGACGTGGAATTCCTCTGTGTGAGTGTGTAGGGAAAAACAAAAAAAACAAAAAACCGGCGTATCGTGGTCAGGAAAAGGGAGAAAAGGATGTGATGGATGTTTAGAAGCTGTAAGTAGATAGAAGGTTGATGCAGTCCAGATAAAGAGCCTCACTCCACTACAGAAATTGTACATGTATGCGGCCTGCAGTGCAGACCAGATACGTTTGGACTTCCCCAGTGTATCAGTAACAGGTCCAGATGCAGTGAGGCTCAATGTAGTAGGGACTGAGCCAGAAGGGAGAAAACTATGAGTGTACGATAGTTAGAATATGTACGATAAACGGAAGAGGGATGTCATATAGATATAGATATATACGCTTCCAGAAAAGAACCTTTTAAACCCTTGAAAGCTTCTTTTAAGGTGGCTAGGGGTCAAGAATGTTGAGTTTTCAAATTACAGTTGTCAAATAGGAAAGAACTTTTGGGGGGGGAAAATGGGAAAAAAAAAAAAAAAAACAATGCAGGCCTGCTTCTCAGGGCATACTCACACTATGACTTTTCCGTCTAAGCTCTGGACCTGATTGCAGTCAGATTCATCCAGTTCTGGCCACAAATGCAGTCAGATACATTTACGAAAGTCCTAGTGTGAATATGCCCTCAGAGTGGATATGTTTTTTTGTGGAGACATTGATTGATATCGAGGGCAGTTGTTTGATTGGTTGGATCTTCGGCCGGTTTGAGTTTCTGTAGCTCTGCGTTTTATTCCTGTGAAGTCTAGTAGGGTATACACACACAAGGACTCTCCTAAATGTGTCTTCAATCTAGGTAGCTGAGGCGGACGATTGGGCGCCCCCCCCCCCTCCCCCCCCGCCCCCCCCAACAACAAACATATGCGTGGGCTGACGTCTGCCCCAGGTGTCTGCTGGGGACCAAATACTGAGCCCAGCAATAAATGGGGCAGGCCTGGTTCTCAACATGGATCGCCACCACAACATCCCCTTTTCCATCCAGAAGAGAAGATCCAAAATGTGATGGAGTCCGCTGGATCTGAGTTTCTTCTCTCAACCAAGCGTGTTCCACATACTATGACCGGGCCCAGGTTGTCCCATCCAACCCCCCTGGTATCACCTGGGTCACATAACAATACCTCCTACCCCATATAGTACCTCCCAGCCCACTTGCTATGACCTAGGCCACATGATATCATGTTGCCCGCGTAGTGCCACCGAGTGCACATAGTATGACCTGCCTCACATACGACTGCTTAACCCGCACACCTCATGGTAACCCCCGGCTCCACATGGTACGACTCAGCCTGCATAGTATCAACCAGCCCTCATAGTACCGCTCAGCCCACATAGTACCACTCAACGCACGCAGTACCGCCTGGCCGTGGCAAGGGCTGAATTTGTACCTGATGTTTGTCCCCTATGTTTTTTTTGTTCTCTTTTCTTTTTCTGTTCTTCTTTTTGCTGTGGTCGTGTGTGTATTTTTTTTTTTTTTGGGCAAGAGTGTGTTTGTACCATCCACTCCACATAGTGTGGCCTGCCCCACATGGTGCTGCCCGGTGCCACAGTGCCCATACACCCATGTGGCGTCACCCAGGCCGTATACTACAGTGACTGCCCAGCCCACACAGGACCACGGCTGTGCCGACGGTGGAGTTGTCCCTAGGTGCATCGTAGTAACTGTCTTTTTTCTGGCTGTGCGTGTTAGTACCATGGTTGCGGCACACTGCTGTGCTGCGAGCTGCGCTGTGCGCCTGCCTGCCGTGCGCACAGACGTGTGCGATGCGCGATGGGCGATGCGCTGCGCAGCTCTGAGATGTGCGATGCGCTGCGGTGCGCGCTGCGCTGTGCGCCTGCCTGCCGTGCACACAGACGTGCGCGATGCGCGCACATCGTTGTGTGGTGCGCGATGGGCGATGCACTGCGCAGCTCTGAGATGCGTGATGCGCTGTGCAGCTCTGAGATGCGCGCTGCGCCAGTGTGTGGGTAGGTGCGTGAAGAGCGCGCATCTGTGCACATGATGCGCGCAGGATCCTTTTTTTTTTTAAGGGGGGGGGGAAGGGCTCTAAGGGCGCAGGATTTTTTTAAGAGGAGGGAGGTAGGGAGAGGTATGACGAATGACAAAGGAGGAGGGAGAAGTATGATGAGGGAGGAGGGACGAGGAGTATGACAAAGGAGGATGGAGGAAAAGTATGACGTGGGAGGCGGGAGGAGTGAGGAAGGAGGAGGAGACCACTAACGAAGGAGGCCATGTTCATTACGCTGGAGGCCCTTTTTTTGAGGGGAGGGAGAGGAAAGGAGAAGAACGACGATGGAGGAGTGGTATGACGAATGAGGAGGGAAGTATGACGAAGGAGGGAGGAAGAGGAAGATAACGATGACGAGGGAGGAGGGGGAAGGGAGGAGGGAGGAGGGAGGAAGTAGAAGGGAGAAGGGACCGATGACGAACGAGGGAGGGCGAGGACAATGATGGGGGAAGTAGGAGAATGATGACATGGAGGGTCACTCGTGGTTAATAGGTGGTGTCATTTTCGGTGAATTTTTCACCTAAATTGCCATATTTCCCTGAATTTTTGCTTTTTTTTGTTTTTGTTTGTTTGTCTGATATGTATAAGCTTTAGGGTATATCTGTATTCAGTTTCGGCGTATTTATAGTTTGTTTGCAAAAGTTTCGACGACATTGCTTGTAGTGATGCGGCGGAAAACCCCGAATTTTGGGCCTTCCATTAACCGCGTGTCAGGAGGAGGAGAACTATGGGGAGGGTGATCGAACTTGAATGCAAAAAAGAACTGGAGGGGGGAGAGAGAGAGAGAGAGAGAGAGAGAGAGAGAGAGAGAGAGAGAGAGAGAGAGAGAGAGAGAGAGAGAGAGAGGGGCTGGTGGTAACCCACCACTGTTGTAGACACGGCTTCCTCCGGATCCTCCCATTGCGCTGGTGATGACCACGTGACAACGGCGAGGCTGCTTCCTGGTGCGCAGACGAGGCGACGAAGGCCAACACACGGTGGCTGGGAAGGAGACCGTGCTGTCCAGCCTCTAAGGTGGACTACCGTGTTTCTGCAGCCAGCGTGGTGGGTCTGAGTAGTTCAAAATCGAGCTACTCAGATCTCCCTCGTTTTGCTTTTTGGTGCCCACTTTGGTACCGGTTGGCGTGAACCAGCATAAGGGCCTACAACCCCCCCCCTGCAACCTTTTTTTTTCTTTTTTTTTTCTGACCCCTGATTTTCGAGGTGCACCGCACGGCATGCGGCGCGCGCATCCTGCGCCATGCACGGTGTGGCGCATCTGCGCTGTGCAGTGCACCTCGATGCGCCGCATGTATGGTTAGTACCATTCAGTCTGCATGGCATAACCCAACCCCCGTGGTACTGCCCAGCCCACATATAACCGCCCGGCCTAATGTAGTATTGCCCATGCCACTGCCTGGCCATGCCAAGGCCTGAGTTGTGGGAAGCCAAGCTTACCATTCCCGTTCCTGTTGCTTTCGTTTCACCGTCTATCACCGCCGTCCTGCCCGCTCTGCTGCGGGTGTAGTTGCGCAGGGTCTGCTTGCTGTGATTTAAAGATCAGAATGCTCTATCACGGGCTTCCTGCCCGCTCTGCCGTGGGTGTAGCTGTGGCGGTACACTTGTTCTGATTTGAAGATTGGAATCCTCTATCACCGGCTTCCTGCCCGCTCTGCCGCGGGTGTAGCTGCGACGGGTCCGGTTGTTCAATTTGAAGATCAGAATGCTACTTTGTACCACATTGCAGCAAAACTTGCAAAATATAGCCACCATTGTGTTCCCTATTATTCAGGTGTGCCGTCCTCTGCATGGCTATCTTTACCATTATTTCTCCTTGGTCCTTCGGGCGGGGGGGGAGGGCATCACTATCAGTCCCAAGGGCACTGATTGTGGCCTCCCTTGTCTTCCGTATGGCCTTAGGCTCCGGCGGACGGGGCATCATGTTCGTGGGTGAAGCCACTAGGTTCTGTCTTTGTACCCCAGACGTCCCCCTACAACCGGCAGAAGATTTTGCTGACCCTTTTCGGCCCCACCACCAATCGATGGAAGTACGGGTGGGATAGACAAAACTTAGAGGACAAGCGATCGCCTCTCAAGAGGTTTTATCGGTCTTCAACAACTGTTTTTATTCTCACAACTGTTTTTTTTCTTTTTTCCCCTCAGAAGGGACGCTGAGCCCGTTCCTCAGCACATGATGGCATGAGGGCACCAGGAGGATCGCACTAGTTTGGCAAGGACAAGGGGATGGAAGAAGATCTCACCGGTGCCCCCCGGTGACTCTCCTTCTGACCCCCGGTCAGGCCACGGGTTAGGAAAGGGAGGAAAAGGATGACGGGAGGTAGAGGTAGGTGGGGGAGGGAGGAACCAGAGTGTAAACATAGGTATCAGGCGCCCGATATAGGGCAAAGAGGTTCTCTACCCCCTTGTCTCCCATTAACCTGCTCAGTCAGTCCTCTGGACTCGAGAGCAATCACTGCTGGCAGGCGTATGTCAAGTCTTTTTTTTTTTTTTTTTTTTTTTTTTTTTTACTTGAATCCGGACTCTGGTTGTTAGTGATTGTAAAGCCATCCATCACTAACACCCTGCCCCTGACTCCATTCTATTGGTGGCGTATGTCAAGTCTGTTTTCTGATATCTTCCAATTTCATTCTGTATTTGGGACGCTGGACCCGTTTTCCAGCAGGTGATGCTCCCCACCAATAGATGGAGCCCCCCCTAGGCGCTAGCAGTGTCTGCTTTTACCAGCACCACTAGCACCACAGGAGGTTTCAAAAAAAAAAGAAAAAACGGGAAACAATATCCCATGGGCCCGGTATGCTTGGCATCCCACCCACATCACCCAGTACACCATCTGCAGTGGCTAACCAACAATCACTGGTCCACACCAACTATCCCTAGAACAGATATGGACGACTCCCCGTTGGCCAGGGCGAAACAGGACCTCCGGATTGACCCTCTGTGGACTGCATTCATCAAGCTATGGAGGAAGCTATGGAGGGAGAGAGGGCCACACTGCTCAGTCACTCCAACCAGATGGGAGGAGATATGGTGCCAGCCTGTGTTTGGCCATCAACAGATTATGGACCACGTAGGCGTGCCCTTCTCCTTGCGTGGCAAATCCAGATGGCTGAACTGGGTAAAGAAGGGGATATATACAACTGGGGACCTGTGGGATACACAAACAGGAAACTGGGCAACGATCGAAACACTCAAAAGGAGAACGGGCCCGATAAAAAACATGGCCAAATACCTGCAAGAGATCCAAGAGGCGATTCCACTTGCCTGGCTCCGTACCCTCAAAACCGGACCAACAATCAACATACACGATTGGGCGACGACAG